TTACGGCAAGCCATGGGGACTAAACTACATTTTAGTATCGCTTTTCATCCTCGAAGCCGATGGACGGTCGGAGAGAACCATCCGGACGCTTGAAGATATGCTTAGAGCTTGTGTGCTCGAGTTTAAGGGATCTTGGGATGATTATGTGAATTTGATTGAATTTGCTTATAATAATCATTTCCACGAGCGGTATAGGCATGGCACCGTATGAAGCTTTATATTGTAGAAAGTGTCGATGTCACGTATATTGGGATGAAGAAGGAACAAGAATACTTAAGGGTCCGGAATTGATACAAGAAACTGTTGATAAAGTAAATGTGATTCGGAGTAAATTAAAGATTGCACAAGATCGACAAAAGAGTTATATGGACCAACATAGACGAGATATGGAATACAATGTAGGGGATAAGGTTTTCCTTAGAGTTTCACCTTGGAAAGGGGTGTTACGATTTGGTAAGAAAGGTAAATTGAGTCCTCGTTATATTGGACCATATGAAATAGTGGAACAGATTGGTCTACTTGCATATAGATTGGCTTTGCCCCAAGAGTTAGCACGGCTACATGACGTCTTCCATGTAAGTATGTTAAGAAGATACCGATCTGATCCTTCACATGTGGTTCAAGCCGGTAAAATAGAGGTATTCGACAACTTGAGTTATATGGAGAAACCGGTACAAATTCTTGATCGAAAGTTAAGACAGGTTAAGGAAAAGAGAAATGCCTATGGTGAAGGTTTTATGGAGAAACCATGCTAAGGAAGAGGCAACTTGGAGACTGAAGAATATATGCGCAACCATTATCCTCACTTGTTTCCCGATATAGGTAAAGGAATTTCGAGAACGAAATTCTTTTAAGGAGGGGAGAATTGTAATAACCCCGTCCCAAAAACATACACTGTTCATGCATACACGCATACTTAGGAATTACACGCATATAATTATACCTGCATATGACATGTTAGTGGGGTATTGGATAATAATTATTTGAAATAATAGGAAGAATTAGGGGCTTAATTGAATGTAATCTAAGTTGGGGGACTAGAATAAAAAAAGCCAAAACTTGAGGGACCAAAATGAACTTTGCCAAAATATCTTCACAACCTTATCAAGATTACTTACCTGATCATTATCTCTTCTTGTCTCATCTTTTTTCCCGTTTTAAGAGAGAGAAAGAGAGGAAAAACCCATTTCTTTGTCAAATTCGGATGATCAAGCTGGAAATCTAAGTAAGTTCATCTCCAGCTCTGTTTTGTACTCTTGATTTCGAGACTTTAAGGTCAGATATGGAACAATTTATAAGAATAAAAATTGTTGGTTTGTGTCTTATCTAGGTCTCTGTCAAAGGGTTTTGTATTTAGTGATTTATATTTTGGGTTATGATGGTTTGAACACATGTTGTTCTAGGTGATCTAATGCTGGCAGATTAGTGTGCAAACTTTAAAAATATGTTATTCTTTGGGTGTTGAGTATTTCGATCTGATTTTTGGATATGTTTTATATTGATATGTCTAGTTCTTTTTAAAAAAAGAATTAGGTCTTTATCATGTCCCAATCTAGATTTATTGTTTTTTGTTTGGAGACTGCTCGGTAACAAAGGTGCTGGAAACTAGTTAGAGTTTGAAAATCTAGAATAAATCATGTATATGGAATATTGGGATGATTTTTGGATATGTTAGACCCCTTTGAGTCTATTTTCATGTAAAACTGGAATTTTTTCATTTTACCTGTAGTTTAGGATTTATAGTACAAAGAGTGTGAACTATGAAGGGGTCAAGTACCCATAAACAAATGGCAGCAACTCTGATTTTTAGAAAATCATCATGAGTTGAGTATTTCGTACCTAGACTTGATTTTTGGATATGTTAGAACGCTATTAATCTAGTTTTATATGAAACTAGAATTGCATCATTTGAATCTGTATTTTGGGACTTATGGTAGAAAGAGTGAAAAGGGGTCAAGTACCCATAAAGGAATAAGTTAACCCTAAAGTCATATTTTGTACCTTGAGCATATTTAGAAGTTTGATCATGATAAAATGACTTATAAAAGTATATGTGTATGTGTTTATAGACGCCGAGGAGCGTGAGGTGTAAGATGCGACGCATTGATAAACGGCGAAGACGTCATTTTTGTGAGTTGAATAATAATAGTTGTGCCATGATGTGTTATTGCTATTGAGTGCTAATATTATATTTATTGATATTGATACTATGATGTGAATGATGTGACGTTTGCTAGTTGACGCAAACGTTGTGTTTATTGATGTTATAACAATATTATGTTTATTGATATTGATACTATGATGTGAATGATGTGTCGTTTGCTAGTTGACGCAAACGTTATGTTTATTGATGTTATAATGGATATGTACCATGGTGTAAGCTATGGATGTTGTATATGCTATATGTGAAACATTCATGATATATGCAAGACTAAGAGGTTAAGGTTATGGCTGGCTTGTCTAAGTTTCGTAAATATAAGTTTACAAGGACCCAACGGGTCAACTACAAGTTATAAAAGCTGAGTCGACAATACATGTGTACAAGTTTACAAGTTACAAGTATCCGGAGCGAAACTTGACATGTCCAAGTTATAACCGATAAGAAAAAGAAAAGCATGTAATCTTAGAGTCATATGAACTACTGTATTGTTTATATGTGATGATACTTGGATGACGTGATTGTATGTTATGGTTTCAATGGATTATTGTTTTCTCATTGAGTAGCATCTCATTAAAAATGCAATTATTTTTTTTAGGTACTAAGAAACAAAAAGTGGAAGTTAAAGTCATCTTTTGTTGTTCAATTCACGTCATAAGTGACGAGTCGGTTGGCGATCTCCCTCTCCTCTCTTTCATTATGCCGAGCATATGCATCCTAGGAAATTTTTGAATTGTATATGTAACTATGTAAATATGAACTCCTGGAGGTGTTTTGAGACATGTTTATGAACAAAGAAAAAGTGGTTTTGATTGAATATCCAAGGGTTATAAGTGGAAAGAATGTTGTTGATTAGATTTTGAAGTGTTATGGCTGAAAAACCCTTGTTTTGGGCGAGAAATGTACACGGGGAGGTACACGCTCGTGTGGAAGGTCGTGTAACCTTCTATTTTCAAGGGAAAATGAGTTTTAAGTTACACGAGCGAGTACACGGCCGTGTTGGAGGCCGTGTAATCTGCTGCCTAAAAAAAAAAAAAAATTCCTAATCTTTCTAATATGAGGTTTTAACGGTCCTAAGTGATATTTTGTGATTAAGCGAGTTTTCTAGAACTAAATTGGCTAAGTTATACGAAGTTTTTATAAGGAATTAGGTTAAGGACGCTACACTTATAATGACTAAAAAAACTAGTTTAAGCTATATTCTATTAGCGAGGGCTCCTTTTTCTTAGTTTGGAATCAAGCGAGGGAACATTATCCAATTTACTATTATTATTATTATTATTATTTCTCTTGTGTTTATTAGTCTCCATCACTTCGACTTGTGTGACATTTTCGGTAGGTTGGACAATTGATGGTTAAATATACGAAGGCAACGCACAAACCCCTTTAGAAAGATTAATTTTTACTTAAGTTGGAGTAATCATTATTATTATTTCTATCAAATTTATTTTATTTTATGTACTTGAATTATAACAAAAAATAAAGACTACTTATTTTTTCATAACAAAGAAATAATAATAAGTAACATTACTTGAAATTTTTGTATTTATCGGATAATCTACGCCACTAGCTTGTAGTTTAAATTTGGGTTTAATCCCTCTATTACAATTTAATAATTTCAAACCTTTATTATCAATTTATTTAATTTGAAACTCAAAATATATGTTTTTGGATAAATTTTATCCAAATTGTATTTTCTTCATTATTTGTAATAGTCAATCCGGTTAGCTAGTTAATTTTTTTCTACTCTTTATTTTTTTCTACTATTATTTAAAAAAACTTTAAAAATGTTTTTTCTTCATTTTTCAAGAGAGATTTTTTCACTGTTTTACCTATAAATAAAAAAAATTACTAAACTTTTTTTTTGTTCTTCTTAAAAAAAAAAAAAAACTCACTTTTTGAACCTATCTTTTTTTTAAAAAAATAAAAATAGAAGAAAATTTTTAAATTTTTAAAAATATTTTTCTAACTCTAAAAATTTTAAATGTATATTATATATTTAAACTATTGTGAGAATAAAAAATCCTATAAAACATGTGAAATAAAATATTAAATAAACACTATTATATTTAAAATTTAATTATTGAAAATCACAAGAATAAATTTATTGACTTGACAAAAGAAAATTTTTAGTTAAAATTACATGATAATTTTAATCGATCAAATTTAATTAATAGATGTTTGTATTTTATTAATTATAAAACACGATTATGTTGAATGGATAAGAATGCTACATAAAAATTATTTTTGAAAATTAAAAACTTATACATAAATAAAAATTTGATTGACTATAAAAAATCAAATGGATTAATATATGAAAATTTTAAATAGAAAGAATCTCTCTTGAAAAGTGGAGGAAAGTTTTAAATTAACTAGAAAAAAATTAACAATAAAAAAAAATTAACAATCAACTAGGTTGAATGTTATAAATAACAAAAAAAAATACAATTTGAATAATATTTATCAAAAAAATAATATTTTAGAATTCAAATTATATAAATTAATAATAAAAATCTGAAATTGTTAAAATAATAAAACATGAATAATTTTTGTCCATTAAACGTTTAAAGAGGTTGAAGTAAGTGAGAAGTCATCTTCCAATATAAGGGGAAAAAAATCCCAAGAGGTAAATCCCTTGAATACCCTTCGTTTGGTAACAGAATTACAACAAAAATCGTCACGTGAGCTCCCTTCTGTCCTCTGCTGTTCTGCTGCACCTGAAGCACCTTGTCAGCAATACCAATCGACAAACTATACAAAGAGAAAAGAGTGAGATATAATCAAACTGTGTGCATTCTTGTTAAGAATTGAAGGCAAAAAAGAGATAAAAAAAAAAAAAAAGATGGCACTGTCTGGCTATTTTTTGAGGTTCTCTGTAAATGCAACATTAATGAATTCTAATCCATCTAAACTCCCTTTCCGAAGCTCTATTTCTTCATCCTCCAAGGTTCCATTCCTTTTATCTTTATCTCTAATTTTCTTAAATGCACTGTTTCATGTGAATTGGTAAATGCCTTTGTTTTTTACTTTTGTGCATACCATGTTTAGTTCTTGTTAGTATTGTACTAAAGTCTAAGAATACGCCTCAAGGAGCCAGCCATCTAGGGTTTTGCTTGGCTTCAGTGAGTACATTGACCATTTCCAAAGTGGGTTCCATTGTATTTCTTCACATAGCTATTTAAGTTTTTATTTTTCTTACTATCATTCTGTGCAGTCTTTGTTTGGATTTCGGAATGTGTTGCAAGGAAACAGAATAAGCTCCCAAATTGTTTCCCTTTCTTGCTTTCATCCTACAACTTATTGGAGGCACTGTGTGAATATTTCCCTTTCCCATTGTTGTGATCAGTTTCACAACTGCTTCTGGTGCTGCCATCAGCAAGGGAATCGTGGGTTTTTTTCTACTAATTAGTTGGCATTACTTTGCCGAGGACTATGGAATCGTGCTTTTCTTATGTTTGCTATGCAGTAAGTAGCATTAAACTTTATCTAACACACCTGTTAATGTCACTTCTATAAAGCATATGACTGAATGGTGCTCTGGAGTGGCTTGAATTTGGCTTGAATTTTGCTTCCGTAACATGAATTTCTAAAGTTGTCCTGTTGTTATTTGCTTTTAATCGGTCAATTTACTCTGGACTAATGCCATGCCCTTGAGATGCTTCTGGTGAGGAGTGTAGAAACAATCAAAATTAAACGCAGATGGACGATCTATGAGTGTTTATTTTAATTCCTGATTGCATCTTGCAGGTAGGATTTAAGGGTCACACTGGTGTAGGATCTACTAGTTGGTTCTGCGGTGACACCAAGTGTTATCGTAGCCAGTCTTTTGGGATTACTGGGGACAATGAGCTCATTACTGAATCGGTAAGGAAAGAAGCTGAGGGCTTTCTCCCCAATGCTATGAATATGAGCTTCTTTGACCGTTTAAATTTGGCATGGAAGATATTGTTCCCATCATCTGCAACAAGAAGCAAGTCAAATGCAAAGATTGCCAAGCAACGTTTGAAGATGATCCTCTTCTCTGATAGATGTGCAGTCACTGATGAGGCAAAGCAGAAGATTGTGAGTAATGTTATGGATACTCTATCTGATTTTGTGGAGATTGACTCACAGGATAAAGTCCAGCTTAGTGTCTCAACAGATTTAGATTTGGGGACCATTTACTCTATCACAGTTCCTGTCAAGCGCGTTAAGCCTGAGTATCTTGATGAGGAAGATCTTGAGGATTTGACCAATATTCAGTACAAGGGCACCTGAGAAAGATCTGGCCCTCTTGATGAGTAAAATCTTATTGTTTGATGTCTTCTTGCTAATGTCAGGAAGTAGTTGACTTAATCCTGTCTATGCTCGGATGAGAAACAATGTTTTTGTAGATAGACCAATTTTGTTTGATTAGTTGGCTGGATTATGTACTGTTAGGGAACTTGCAATTTATTGCCAAGTGAGAATGTCTACTGCAAGCTAACTGCTTACTAATAGTATTCACTTGGCTGATTTTCGCAATCCTTATTTCAGCTCTTACTCGAGTAGTTTGATCATTAGAATCAGGAGAACTCAGAAATGAATTTGAAAAAATTCCATGTAATCTCTGCATGATCAATCTATTTGGGGTCTGATAACCACCCATCCCTCCTGTGAATATTTCTCATTCTTTGCACTATTTGTTTCCAAGCAACCTGAATGAATTATTCGCAGGCTCACCTGAGCTAAATTCTGCATTGTTTGTCATGAGAAACGAAAACTTTCCAGATCCATCGCTGTTACAGTTTTCAGTAGTTGATCAGTTTCTGGCAGACAAAACTTAGTTAAGCTTCTTTAGTGAATCAGGTAGCAAATGGCAATTCTGTTCAAGTGACTTCCTTGTTAGCTAGTTTCAACTTCCACACAATCTTGTGCAAGCCTTCCCTATGCTTCAAGTTCAAAGAGGCAAGGTTATTCAGTAGCACACATCTCCTCAGTCTCTAGTCTACACTCACATTAGCAAAGGATGAAAATACGGTTGAGATGGTGAAATTATATTTCTAGTTAAGTATACTAGCACTAGAAAGAGAAGGAAATTTTTGTGCAAATAGTAAGGGAAAAAAAAGTGAAAAAAAAAAAAAACGATAGAAGTAGAACAAGCAGTACAGATACTAAAATATCAAGAGTAAAATATTATAATAATCCCTATGTTTTTGGTAATATTAGTTAGATAATCCATTGGGTTTTTTTTTTTAAAAAAAAAAAACAAACAAATGTTATATCCCTATATTTTATGTTTCTGTAACTTAATCCTTTCTTCCGTTAGTTTTTCATTATTTTCTCGTTCTCATAAAGATTGTATAACTATTTATATTTGTTTTAAAATATTTATTTGACAAAAAATTTAAGTGATTTATTTTTGTAAAATATTTCTAATTAAAATTTATTTTGTAAAAGATTATACAAATACAACTTTTTTTAAAAAATATTTTTAGAAATATAAATAAAAGATATTGATGTGACATAATAATTAATAATTTTTTTAATTTGTGTGAAATGTCAAAAATAACAATTTTTTTAGGATTAAAATAGTAAATTTTTTTTGGCTAATTAGTTCAATAGTACCATTTACTATACGAGTGATCATAAACTAGTACTCCAAACTAAATTTTTTTCAATTCGAATACTATAACTATTTTTTGATTTGTCATTAAGTCCGTCGATCCCATTTACCAAATTCCAAGCAAATCGATAGGCATGTGAGGGTGAATAGATCGAAGTATCCTTATCCTTACACTCCCCCCCCCCCCCCCCACACACACACAAAAAAAAATACTTCACCTTTTTTTCTCCTTTTTTCGATTAGCAAACCAAAAAAAAATCCCATCCTTTCCTTCTTCCTATCTTTCATATCTAGTCAATTTTATGTGTGTTATATTTGAAAAAAAAAATTGTTATTTTGTTCTAGAGCCATAAAAAAGAATCCGTTTCTTCTATTTTTGGGTTGATGGTCTGTCTTTGTAATCATCCATTAAGTGTTTGATGAAATATTTTACTCCTCCTTTCAATCTTTTGGTGGTACTAGAATAGGATCAAATGACTTATACATCAAATATGCTAACATATATTATGGAAGTAGATGCAAAGCACTTTTGAGGATTTTAGAATCCAAGAAAAACCTAAATAAGCTATATTTTTACTTAAAAAGATGTGAGTTTATAGACTTTTGTGAACCAATAAATTTGTTGGAGTTCTTGAAGCTTCAAATGATGAGTATGAAGATGTAAGAGTCGAAGAAAGAAGTTCAAGGGATGGTTGAGGTCGATTAATGAATTCAAGTCAATGTTGGGAGCATATAGGGATATAGGTATGCATGGTTGCATGTTTTTTGCTTTGTTATGTCATATGTTTATGCTTCTCTATGTTTTAAGCAAATAAAAGGGTGTTTGTTTATCGTTGTGATTTTGATAAAATATGGAATGAAAAATTGGTATTGGTTTTGTATTTTATGTTTACCAAATATTGTTTCATCTACTTTTGTATGGTTTGTGTGTAATTGTATACAACACTTTGTTGAATTAGTAAGACCAAGGGGGACCTATTAAATGGAAAATAATAACATTGAAGTAAAAGACATCTAATTGAATTAAAACCTTCATTCATTGAGTATAATTAAAATTTATATTAGTCCTACTATCGACATCATTTAACATGTAAATACAAAATGAAATGTATGGTTTCTACGTGTAGTTACAATGGTTAGCCAACATTTGTTAATGTAAATAGTACACTATTATTAAAATAAAATAAGAGCATGGTCCTGCTATTTACATAATCAAAAGTCGGGTTTTAGCTAATGTCCCAAAACTAACTAGATGATATCCTATATATTGTCCAATGAGTACGAATATCAAGGCTTCCATGGAGTCTTAATTTTGTTGCTTCTTGTAGGTCGTCTTGGTGGTTTAAAACTGTCTTTCAAATAAAAATCACAATTGTTATTTTGATGGCTAGCTCTAGCATTATTCATGAAACCACCATTCAAACTCGCATATCTAAGAACCCGTTTATCACAAAATTATCAACATATCAAATAAATGCACATCAATAGTGACACATAGATCAATAACAACACCCATGTAATGATTGTCTATAACCGACGATCATGGCATGCCAAACAACACTCCACATGAGAAAACCTAAAAACAGAGAACCAAAATTAACAATACTCCACATGTAAACACCCAAAAACAGACAATCATATTAATAACACTCTACATATAAACACCCAAAAATATCCAACCATATTAAAAAAACTTTATATGTGAAACCCATAAACAACAACCACACTTTCGGATTATATGCAACAAACAAATAAGTCATAATTGAAATTTTATACAACAAACAAATAAAGAATTAAAACTCTTACTCGTTATGTTCTTTGTAGGTTTGGTTTCAATAATAATTGCTTTCCCTTTTCTTTTGTATTTGTTAACTATTTCATTAGTAATAATTGAAGACTATTGTGTGCATTATGTTTCATGTACATTAGATTGGAGAGGAATAATTAACTCGTTTCCTCTTAAGGGTTTTTGACCAGCTATCATCCTACTTCTTCTTTTTATGAGGCTTCGCACTAAGGTTTCTTAGTTGTGGACAACCCATAATGGTTTGCCCTCTAGCCTTGCAATTGCTACAAGTCATAATCACACCCCTTCGTTAATCTTATCCGAGTTAGATGCTTATGGCTCGGTTTATTGTCTCATTCACTATTTCTTGGGTCTATTAGATTAGGGTTTGATGACAAGTGTTTCTATATGGGCATATTCTTCAATATTTAGCCACTTATCGGGCCTTAAAACATGCGGAATAGGAAAGTGATATGCTAGCAAGAAGGTCTCCTTGGTGAACTAGATGTGCTCAAAGTCATCAACATCCAAATTGCAATACTAGATGATAACACACACATGGAGACATGGTATTCTAGTCATGTCCTATTTCCTATACAAACAAGTTTTCTTATCTAGATCAAACACAATTGAGTTTCCATCACTAGGAGTCACTTTATAATTGTTATTCAAGCTAGGAATAACAATACATGATAACTATTCCACCCTAATTATCTTTAACTTCTTCATAATTCTTGGAAAAATATTTTGATTATATTTTCCCATTGCATTTACTTTTAAATGGAATCTTTTCATCAACTTCCCCTTATAGTCTCCATCATTATGATGGCTGGTTTATCTTTGGCCTCTAGGATGAGGGTATTGAAATTTTTAGCCATGCTCGTTCAATAGCAAATTGCACATTGCGAGTGAAGCCCATAGCATGACTTGTCCATGTTTTCGTCTTCACATTTATCAAGTAGTTATAGGCTTGTTCATCCAGACTTCTTAATTTCCTTCATGTGATACTCAAAGTGTTTCACAATATATGCCTTAGTAGCATTCCACATATGGTCGTTGAAAGCTTGGTTTTGAAGTGTTTCTTGAAATTCCACCACATGTGTTTTACACATAATTCGTGATCCACACCCAACAAGTTTTCTTCAAAAATTGCTTACAAACCTTATAAAGAACACATCAAGCATCAAACTTTATAATTAATGTATATAAATGTAAGGTAATATGTATATTAAATACGTAAACAAATCATAATTTTACCTTTTTCTTATCTAAAATGAATTTCCATACATGTTCATTAGGTGATCCAATGTCTCTAAATAGTAAATCTAGAAACTATTTCCAGTTTGCTTTGTCTTTCTATGCATAATTGCATAGCAATTGGAAATGTGTTGTCATTAACATCTCTATCAACAACAACTAGGTCACCCTTGAATATTCCTTTCAAATAGTAGCCATCAATGCCAATGAAAGGTCTACAACCAGCTAAAAACCTTTTCCTATAAGTCATCAAGTACATATATATTTTTTGAAATACATCATCACAAATATCAACTTTTATAATACTGCCATTATTGAATTTCTTAATAGTATTAGCATATTTCCATTATATTGCAACCTACTCACTTTCCTTACCCCTTATAATATCATTTGCTTTTTAGATTGTCCTAAAAAACTTATCATAATAAACTTTTCCTTTCTTCTCTCTCATAACCTTACCTCTTAAAGCTCGTTGATCAATATTAGGTTGTTCCCTAATATCTTCTAGATATTTTCTTGTAATCCATTAAGTAGTTATCTTTTTCAAGTCAAAATCTTTCCCATATTTATGTTTGTCGTAAAAGCTCTTAATTAGCTAACAAGTTCTATCGATAAAAAATGAAGCACAAAACTTCTAGCCACACTTCTCATGATAGATTATACTAATACGGTAATCATTATTTTTCTTATACTTATAGTCATATTCATTATAAATTACATATTCCCTTAATGCTTTACTAAGTATAAATATGTTCCTAAAATTCATCCTAGGTACAAGATTTATTTTACTTTTAAGATCAATCTTAGGGTTAAAGCTAGGATGTCTAGGCTTTATTACCCTAACCTTACTCGTCAAAATCATCCACACTTCTCAAATCATCACTATCACCATGTTTAGTGTCATTCTCATCATCCTAATTACATCCATCATTCACGTTACCATCATTATCTCTCTCTTTTTCTTATCCAATGATCAACTTCTTCATGTATGCCTTTGTTAGCCTCAATGTTAATCAAATCTTCTTGGTCATTATCACCATCTTCAAAATCACATAATCTATTATCTTTTTCATCACTATCACTATATTCTAAATCCACATCAATAAATTCATGATCACCCTCACCTTCACCCTTAAACTATCATCCCTTAACTTTACCCTTACCCTAAACCTCAAACTATCCATCATCACCCTCAACCTCCCCTTACCACCCTCTTTAACCTTTGTGTCATTGTTAGTGTCTTCTTTTATAAAACTATTTCTATCCTAAAAAAAATCTAAATCTAGTATATGAGCATCTAATCCGGGCTCAACATACACAAATAGCATATTTTTCTTATAGACAAACATATATAAACACACATTTTACAAATTACGGTTATCATTTAAAACCTTTAACTTGGTATCTATGTCCTCATTAGCATACTTGTAATACAATTGGTGTATGTTTAAATATCAGCTGCATTAAGTGTCCTTATAATATACTCTATGGTCAAATTCTTCATGTCAATAACTCGATCAACCCCTGCGCCATCTACATAATCAGCTTTTTGGATAGTATATGAATTTACCACCATAAACAATTCTTAATATTATTTCCTTACTTAAATAGCCAAAAAAACAACTAAAATATCATAAGTACGACCCTAATCCTCTAAGTACCATAAACAAGACACATTTTTCAAGCTGAATTGATAGAACAAACATACCATTTTCTATATAACAAACATAAAAAATTGAATCCAAAAGCTGAACTCAAAGAAATACCCAACTTCCATTTCGAAACCCTTCCAATGTGAAAGCCTATCAACACCCTAACAAAAGATCACCACTTTGTTTAGGACCATTACTATTTATTAAAGATCATATGCACATGTAAAACCCATATAAAATTAAACACTTTAAGGTCACCCCCATCAACATTCCAACCCCATATAAATGCCTTTTACCTAACACAAAGACAAAGACCATGATAATGACAAAGACCTTTAATTAACATTGAAAACATCAATTTTTCACAATGTTTTTACCTAAAAAATTAGCCAAACACAAAGAAAGGGAAAAGACAAAGAAACTAATTAAAAACATTCCTTTTAAAGTAATTAATGACTAAAAAAATAGATTTCTAACAATCATCGATTTATAAGTTACTAACCTTGAAATTTGAAGCAAATCGTTACGGATCATTATAGAACTCCGGATCCCATAGAAATTTTACATAGAGACAAGAAAATGGTCTTAAGCACTCTCTTCTCTCTCTTCAATTCGAACATCTCTTTCTTTTTTTCTTTCTTTGTGAATGTCTCTAATGGTTGTTTCTCTTTGTTAATGACTCTCTTTGTTACTCGTTAATGATGGAAGAATGTGATTGTTTATTTTTTCAATTTTAACAAACTCGTCTTTTTATTTCAAAAATTGCGTCTTTTGTTTAAATTTAGTGATGAGGCTATTTTTAATTTCACAAGATAAGGATGCTCGAAAAAAGGATGAACCGGACCAAATGTCCATGTGTGACTTTAGTATTAGGCCATGTCGGCATTATGTGCGAAAAACGTGCTTAGAATTTGGTCAACGGGATCGACGGACTTAATTACAAAAAAAAAAATATTTATAACGTTCAAATTAAAAAAAATTTTAATTCAAAATACTAGTTTATGATCAACGCATAGTACAATATACTATTGAACTAATTAGCATAAATTTTTTTAAACTATTCTTCATTTCTAATTTCCAACTGCAAACAAAACCAAAAAAAGATGGGTAGATTATACGCATTTGTTGGTTTTTTTTTTTTTTTTTTTGACAAAAAATTAACAGCCAACCATGGTCAAAGAATTTGTATATAATTTTTCGAACAAAGTGGACTAAATTGAAAAATAATTTAAAATATAGTGACTAAGTTATAACTTACTCAAATATCAAACACAGATGAGATAAGACACTGAAAAGCCACTCTCTCTTCACCCTTTAGTTTTTCCGGTTACTTTTCTCCCACAGGCCCATTCCCTCTTCCATGGCTTCAGTTTGCTACTCACTCACATTCCCTCCACTACCCAAATCACCTCTCCCTCCCAAATTCTTTTTGAACCCGAACCCAAACACGAACACAAGCACACTCTTTCCTACCTCCATTTCTACTTCTTGGAGCCTCAAAACCCGACCCACCAACCCACTCTTCTCCTCCCCATCCTCAACTACAAGAACTGGTGAAGATGACCCCAAATCCAACCCAGAACCCATGAGCATTGATAATCTACGCCGTTTCTTTGACATTAACGCAGGCAAATGGCTCGGCTCTTTCCATGTGAGTTTTTCTTTTGTTGAAATTAAATTCTTGGCTTAATTGTGAATTACTATGTGTTAAATGGGTTTTTGTTCTTTTCGGCAGCAATTTGATGCAAAAGGGAAACTAATGCAAAAAGTTAACACAAAGCTTGCAGTAAGCTCTTACGGAGAAGATGAAATCATTAGTCTTATTCAAACGTAAAGATTCTTTCTGTTACTATCTTTCTATTGCAAATTTCTTATCTTTTCCTCTCTCTTTTATTTATTTTTATTTATTTATTTTTTATCTCTTTTGAAAATGGGCAGTAAAGATGTCATAAAAAGGCTGAAACTCTTGTGTTAATTTGCTATTTGATTCAGTGTTGTTTGTAATATGATTTGGCCGAGGCGATTCTTGAATTGTTATAAAAGATGGTTATTTGGTAGTGGAAGGAGGCTGTCAATCTGATTAGCATTGCTTCTATATGATGTTTTTGTCCTTTGGGTGGAGGTCATCTTCAGATACTGACTGGCTGTAAAGTTTGTTGCGAGCTCACTTAGGTGTCTGGTGGAAATTGAGTTTCATTATATATTTCTGTGTATAATATATAGCTGAAATAGGTAACTAACAAGATGTGAATTTGTTTCAAAGGATGTCATTAATCTATTTGTTCATCTTTAATAAGCAACATTTTTTATCTTTTGTCGAGCATGGGATGCATCTTCACAGGGTTTGCTGTTTCTCTAAATCATTAAACTAGACCCTTAGAAAAGCTATGCATGAACTTTGTCATCAAGTAAACGTTTAATGAGATAATGAAACAAAAGCAGCATTCAGTGTGACCCTTTATTCCATTTAGAAAATGCACAGTGCATGTTATGTATAGTGCATGACTTGTATAGTTGTAAAATCTCTTCGCTCCATTGTTGCTTAATCTGGTTGTGCTTTCTAGGCTCTACATAAAACAACCTCTATCAAGCACCTCAATCTCTGGACATGATGAGGAGCCAGAATGGGCAGAATACAAAATCAAAGAAACCAATATGTTCACTGCAGATAAATATCAACAGGTGAGTTCTTCTAACCATTCAAACAATTTGGGTTTCATTGATTGTCCCTTTTTTTTTTTTTTGGTGTGTGTGTGTGTGTGCATGTGTGTGAGTGAGTCTGTATGTGTGTGTGAGGAAACAGCTTATCCCCTTACTCTACGTGCTTTCTATTGAATGTCTATAGTGATTAGTCTGCAGATTGGCTTTTTCCCCAATGAGAAGGCTTTTGCTCTAAGGTACCAGACAGCTGGCATGTTAGAAACTGTGTTAAGGCAAGGGGTGCTGGGTGAAGATGACACTGGAGAAGAATCACCAAAGTAAGTGCTTTCTCATTCGGCTTTCTTTTCACATCATTGAGAATTCACGGTACTAGATGAACACAGCAATACAGTTTGATAAATCTACTGGTACCCAAGTGAAGGCCCTGAAACTTTTGTTCTTGCATTGCGCTGTTATTCTTATCTGACACAATATTTAACCAGAACACATGTTGGGCATGGGATACTAAATCACTGCATTCAGTAGTAATAAGGCATGCAGTAATGACTCATAACTGGTCTTTGTTCTTCACATTTCTGCATAAAACTCGATACAATAGTTAGCCCATGTTTATCTTCACAGTCCTTTGTACTAGCTAGTGGTTATATACGAACTACGTGTCCTTCTCCTCTATGAATTACATGGCCTTCACAGTAACATATATTTGCTTTTATGATCTGATCTCGATGTGAACTTGCAACTTACATGTTTATGAGCTTTCTTTTGTCACATCATTGCATTTTCATTACATTGTTTTTTGAACCATACAGAAACCTTAAGCTTCCTTCTCGCCAGCCTTCTATTGTTTGTGAGAATTGCCTATACTCACAAGAGAAAGACAGGCGAGCAAGAGCCTTTCATATCATGGACCCTAAAGGCATTTTGGAAATGCTTCTTATCTTCCTTGAGGATAGAGGTGATGGGGTGCTTTTTCATCCTTCACTCGAAAGTAACATTGTAAGTTGTATGACCGCTTATAATGTTCAACAGACAGTGAAGAACTAGTTTTTGCTTAGTCACTGAATTGTTTTGTGATGACAGTACATTAAGTTCTGTGTACTTAGTTCATGAAATGACAAGGTTTTTTTTATTGATTGCAGGATAGCACAAACAGGATCTTACCATTTCTTGGTAAGTGGAAAGGTCATTCTAGAACAAAACGCAGTGGTGTTTATGGAGCAACAATTGCTGAAGCTGATACAGTTGCTTTACTTGACATGGATGATAATAGTCAGCTAATCCAGGTACAAGAAGCTCCAAGCTCTTGTCCTTTCATTTCTTTTCTGTTTTTACTTGTTTTTTTCTTTCCAAATACTTATGGTTCCTGAAATTAAGGAAAATCTATGTCTGTCATGTCCATCTGGAAGAGAAAAGAAAATTTGGCTGCAATGTGGTCTTGGCTCTCTATTCATCCATTTTCCTCAGCTCAATCTTAGTTTTCTGGGAGGTTTCTTTTTTCTGCAATGGAAACCATTAGAATCAAGACCTAACAAGTCAGCTCCATTAGTTCCTTCCTTTTTTTGGTTTTGGTTGATAACAAACTATTTGATCATATTATTCATTTTGCTGCTTAATATGCTTTTGATTTTCCTTATATAGGTTCATCAGGGCCATAATCCAAATTCATTTTTTATAAACAAAAAAATTTCAGGATATTTCTTCCACGTCTGATGGACTTCATGTTACAACTAATGTGCACTGGACTGGTACCAGATCAGATGACTTGGTCACATTTGATGGAGGATACCAAATGACGTTCTTGCCCGGAGGCATGTACATGGGGTGTCCTTCTAACATTGCTAAGAGTGTGGCAGAGTCCAAGTCATTTCATTTGGAGTTCTGTTGGCTGGAATCACCTGGGAAGAGACAAAGACTGGTTAGAACCTACGATACAGAAGGCTTGGCTGTCTCATCCACTTATTTTTTTGAAACAAAAATGTGAACGTCCTCCTCCTAGTTCATCTTAAAAATAATTTTTTGTGTAATTTATAATCTACAAAACCCTAGTGATGTATTCAATTCATTTGCAACAGCATGACCAGGTCATGATTTTTGTTATAAACAAATTAAGTTCAAAGTAAAAACAGAGGTCCTTTGTTGTAAAGCTAGCCGAGGTGGATATTTTCACATTTTATTTGGCATGTCGTGGAAACTCAAAAGGAAAGTTGGGATTTCCAATTGCTCCCCGAACGGGCAATGCATAAATGTGTCAGTTAGCAGACATTGAGCTCCAGAAACAGTATGCTTGTTGCATGCGATACATGTCCCTTGAAGCATGTATATAACTGATAGTTTCTGCTCAAGGATTTTCCAAATATCGAAGCTTGGTCTTTAATTATGTTGAACACTCATGTAAGGTTGCTTCTTGTATCATATTTTATGACAGCAGGTCTTCCATGGCCATTTGTAGTGATTGATACGGTGGTCAATGACAGGATTTGCATTATCGATTCTCCTCACATGTCGCTCATGTTTCATCGTTTCAAGATTCCACCTTACTTCTTTCTGCTCTTTTTGGAGCCTCAGATGTACCCTGTAACTTTATTTCATCCCACATGCTTTAAAGAACCCTAATGTTGAACTTGATCAGAAAGGGAATCCTCAGCAATGAATCTTTAGCTTGACAAAATGGTTTGGGGACACTACAAATAGATCTTGACCAAAAAAGAATTCAGAGAAACAAATCTTTATCTTTATCTCGACAAAACGTTGAGGGACATTGCCAAAAGGTAGTGGTTTGTTTTTCCTACTCTGTTTAATGTTTGCTTTTTTCAGTTAGCCATGTTGCTGACAATAAATCCTTCACCTTTTTACTGCTTTTAATTGAATAATTATCTTTTACGAACAATTGGTCAAGTTTATCCTATTTTAGCCTCAAACTTGAATATGTATCGATATTCTTATAGTTTATCGACTATGCAGAAAGTTATCACATTTGTTCCCTTTTGCATTTCCCAAGATATGTAAGTAATCCTTTTAAGTTTCACCGAAAATTTACGTAGTCCTTTTCTTTTGTTTATTTTGTTAAATGGGGATGGACCTTTAGCTCGACACTTGATTTTTATATCACTCCTTACTCCCTGTCATTTAATAAGCATAGACTATAAATCTAAGGAGTCGTCCATGACAAAAATGGAAATGGCAACATTGCAATTTGCTGGGGTTCTCTTATGCCTTCAATCCTATCTAGCAGCCAACAAATATTTTATTTAGTTGCAGAAGGGAAAGTGACAGAATAAGATAGCAACCGAGAAACCAATGAGAGAAGGAAAAGAAAGAAGCTGGGGAAACCACATATGCATAAATAGGCTTTCCGAAGCAATCACGCTCAATGCAGCTATTTCGTTTGAATGGGGAAAAATCATTTGCGTAGGGGTGTGATTCTACTTGCCGTTCGTTACCAACAAAACGCTCATTTATAATCACATTAGTCAAGAGTGTCCCATTTTATTATTAATTTCGATTGCGTAGCTACTTGAGTGCGTGAGTAGCTTTTGACATTTTGATACATGGCATTTTATATGCTAAAGTGAAAAAAAAAAAAAAAAAACAGAGAGAGAGAGAGAGAGAGAGAAGCAAGCTAGGCTTTTATTGGTATGGATGCCGGCCTAAAACGCAATTAGAAAAGAATTCAATATGGATACATAAAAGTGCATCCGTTCTATTTTTCCATAAAAATTAACTTAGTTAATTTTTTTTAATTATATGCTAATTCATATTTGTATTTATTTTTTAATTTTTTATATATGTCCAAACTACACTATAAATGAATTGGATTCAAAATGGACATCATCAATGCAAGGTCATTGATTGCAAGGATAGATACAAATATTCTAGTAGTACTAATGTCTATATCTTATTTCGAAATATATTATAGATATTGACTTGGTGAGCTCGAATTAGGATCCATTAAAAAAATATTTAATTGTTACTTTTAATATTTGATAGCAAGCTAAAGCGAGTTTAGATTAAATAATCTAAAGTCTTCAAGCCAAATCCGATTGTCTAAACTTATATGGCGTGACACAATTCTAATGGTTAAAGGTCATTCTCTTTTACTATAAATACTTACCCCACGTCATTGTGAAAGGATTCTAACTTTTGATCTAAAAAAAAAAACCCTTGAAATCATCATCTCAAAACTCTCTCTCACACGCTAGACAACACTCGAAGATCCATCTCGTTTAGACTTTGACTACCCATATGTCGACCACTCGACTTGTGTCTTATTAACACTCGTTTGCTTCTTATCCTAGGCTTCTCGATATTTGTATCTTTTTTGCTTAGTTGTTTCACCATTACTTCTATAAGTCATAATATTAGCTCTTTATATCTTGACTAACTTGCAACCAATAGTCTAATTAGTTCTCATGAACCCCTCCCTCAAACGTATTTTGGCAACTCTACTAAAAAGTTAATGATTGTGAAGAACAATGGCCTCTTCTACGACAACTAACAAGAATACTAGTTCTGCTACCAACTCATAACAATAATGATACCTCGCTTGATCATAATCACAATACTAATAGTGTCGACTTGCTTAACACTAAGAATGGTAATAATCTTTCAAACCCTCAAGTTACTTAGTGGTAGTTTGATCGTTAGCACTACTTGAAGGTGGCTTACCTTGACCTATTGCTCCAGCCTCTACAATAACCGTTTGACATTCAAGTTTCTAGTCAATGATTGAAGTCTTGAAGGTTTTTTAGGATGCTCGACTTAAACTATTATGAAAACAATAGCGGATGTTCAAAGTACTTCAAGACAACAATGTTGTATTTGCCCAAGCCCTCAATAACATCACACAACTATTTTTCATAAGTGGAATCCCCGCATTGTTGTCTCTTAAACTATGATATCATTAAATATTAATGTTGATGATCATCCAATACCGCATGTTTAACTGGATGATAGGAAAGACATTGCCCCACCAAACACCTATTGTGTGGCTATAGATGACCATCAAATGCTTCGTTATGTTGTTGCTTCTAAGGATCAACATCACTATTTTATTGATGAGGACTTATAATTTCTTTGAATGAAAGTTGGCAAAATCTATTAGAAAGTTTGATCTCAAACTTTCTTATCCGAATCACATTATAGTGAGGCCTTACTCGAAAGACTATGCTGGTTTTTTATGGCTTAGATGATAATTTGAACCTAAAATTTTTTTTCAAGTCCCTAACTAAGAAGGCATACACTTGATATATAAACCTAGCTCCCGATTCTATCCAAACTTAGCCAAACATGTGAAAACCATTTACTAAAAAGTTTTTCTCTACCCTCGAGAGGATGACCATGTCCGATTTAGGAAGATAAAACTAAGGTTCTAGAGGAAGGTTGCTATAATATATTAAACAATATTGTGATCGTATCTTGGATGTTTAAGATGGTTTTGATAAGAAGGAAGCTATTAAGCTACATATCCAGGACATGTATAGAGAGTATATGATACATCTTGTAAATCTAAGCTTGATCAATTTTTTTTACTTTAGTGAAAAGTGCTCATAAAAATAATAATTTCATTGTTCTCTCATAAAGGAATGAGTTTACCCCTTCTATTAGTGGTATCAAATGGATCTTTTGCTAAATGTTGCTTGGCTAAACAAGTGACCAAACATAAGAGCAATAGAGATAGGTTTGGAGCCAACACTTCAAGAGGTTAATCCGCCACCACTTTTTCCATACATTATGGACAAATTCTATACTTTGTTATATCAAAGGATGGTTGGCCGAGCTATCAAATTAGCATGGATGAAGAAGTTATCTTCTCTAGAAGACAAAGTAAAGCCAAGTATTATCGATACCATAGAAATTTAGCGTACCTAACAAAGGAATGCTCGCTATTTGAGGTTTTTTTGTCCTATAATAAGCTTAATAAGGGGGATTATTCTTGACAATTACTCTACCTACATCATACCTTATGTGAAAGAGGTAAATGATGTTGATAACTCTATTGTGCAATAATTTTTGAAAACTCCAAACTTTTGTAATTTTATTAATCTATTGGGATTTAATAAAGAAGCTAAATAAGCGACTTGCCATGACCATCTTATAGATCTCTAAAAAGGTAGTATGGTAAGTGTTTTATAGCCAATTATTCAATAAAAAAGATGGCAAAAATCATAAGAATAACATGCTCTTTATTGATGTTGATTATTATGTCAAAAATACCAAACATAACCATCCACTTTATGTAGAGAGCAAGGTGAATGATAGCCCTATTCACGGGATTTGGATTGACAATCTGTTCATCTCTTAATCTCATGCCGACCACAACCTTAGGGGCTTATGCATTGACAATAAGCACATGATCTCGGATGCTAATTATTGTCAAGGATCTTGACAATACTAACTTTTGCACTCAAAGTCATATAGTAATAGAATTTTAGATGGATCATATATGACACCCAACTTGCTTCCATATCATTGACACTCCTATATCGTATCACTTATTAATAGAAAGGCTTTTTCTCCATGAATATAATTTGATCCCTTTAACTAAGAATCAATGTGTAAAAGGATTTGGATAGAGATGATAATGTTCTTTCCTAAAGTCAAGAAAATTTTTGAGCACCGGGAGACTCACTTTGTAATAGCGAGCATTTTTCAATGAATTTATAGTCGATGGCGATCATAGGATTGAAAAACCAATAAATGTCTCTCGCTAAATTGATAGCTATTGATACTAATAACAAGATTAAAGTCACCTATAAGGATGAAAAATAAGAAAGAGTAGATATAATGGTAGAGTTCAAGTGAATTCTTGTACCATATCCTAAAAAAAAAAAACATTTATCATTTATGACGATTTGTAGGGTCCGAAGTGACTCTATACCACTTGAGCCACTTAATGGGGCTGGTTATATGTATTATTTTCTGAATGGGAACAACAAAACTCTAACTTCTTAACCATCTATAAAGAGGAAGTAGATTTGGCTA